AGCGGCCCAAAATTTCACTGTCGTAAATGATGGTGCAGAGTCCCCATACACAGAATCCAACTCATCTTTGATTTGCGTAGGCGTATTGCCTTTCAAAAACAAATATTTAATGACAGCTCGATACTCGATTTTGTCCATTTTCACAAAAACACTCACATCAACTTACTCAAACGACTGTTACATAACAACTGCGAGTCCAAAATGGCTGAAACTTCGGTGAGTAACTGTCAACAGATGAACAACGAAATTCACTAGCTTTTATTTACAAGTGCTGCTATCTTCACGTTGAGGTCGGAAACTTTTCAGACCACCCTCGTATTTATAGCTATAATAGTACAGTGATGCGATGATTATAAACTCATATTATCAGGAGCATTTTTTATCGTAAGTGTTATTGCGATGTTAGTGATAATAATTTTATACATATTGCTGCTGCTATTACTTTTTTGTTAGAAAACATAGTTGACGCCGGAAATTGCGGTAATTTCTCAGTGAGATTAATTGTTTTTTTCTCTCTCTCTCAGAGTGCGAGTATAATGGACAATAGCCCCGGGGCGGTAATTATTACGCATCTGTTTGTAATCCTGCTCGATATCCGCGGATCCAACGTCCAGTCAGCCGTTGGAAGTTTGCGCGATCCGGTTTTCCCGCTCTCGAACGAACGCACGTCGTGTCGCACCGAATGATTCATATCGCATATCACGGGGATCCGATCGGAAGTCGAAGGAACACCTTCTCGAACACTCGAAATGTGGGTCGCAGATCGTGGACACCTCATCGAACGATTCGTTCGATCGGGACGTGTACCGCTACGCGACTTTTTGGCATTTCGGACCTCGTTACACACCGGTGTCCGCCCACGTGGTCTCCGGTCAGGTGGAGAATGCTCTCACATCCTTCCGTGGCGTGGCGACGTTGTTCGCGCGTGCGGTGACTCCTTACTACGCCTCACCTTCCGCTCCTGTTCCGCAATACGCACGAGCGCGCTAATCGATCGTGATGTAATATCGCGACAACAAACCTGGGCGGGGAGAGGAGGTGGGGAGAGCGTGAGAACGCGGATACGCCAAGTTGCGTAGATCCCGTGATCTCGTAACAGTCCCGACGTAGCACCTGTATCGTTGTCTCTCTCTCTCTCTCTCTCTCTCTCTGCCCCCGTCCCTCTTTCGCGAACGACGTTACCGAGGTATGTGGTAACTGCACTTTAACAAGGCATGATTATGCTCAATCTTAAAGAAGAATCGCTCGGCTACGAGCCAGACATCCACGCTCGATCGCCGTGAAGGAGTACCGGCAAAGGACATTATCCTTGGCGAGACCGTTCCCCGAAGTTGCACCTTCCAAGAGACAGAGTCGCGCGCGAACTTTGCCGTCGCAGATCGAAAGGGAAGTTTCTCCCGAATACGGAAGCTTAATCGATCAACGTGACCTATCGGTTGCCGCCGCGCGACTCGCTCCATGGCGTCTCTCTTTCTCTCCTTCTCTCTCTCTCCCTCTCTCTCTCTCGAAATTTCTGGAGGGTGCGAGCGGCGAAAGACTGCAAAGCTGTGTCGTAAATTAGTGCTCGATGACCGTGCGAGCGAGACCGCGCGCCTTTCGAAGCAGCGGGTCTTCTCGAGGCAGTTTTATCGTCGGCCGACAGGCGTTTAACTTTACGAGCGGCCACGCCACGTATATACTCTATCTCCTCCTCCTCCACCTCCTCCTCTTTCTTCTTCTTCTTCTTCTTCTTCTTCTTTTGCTGCTGCTCCTCCACCTTCTCCTCCCCATCGTCGTCGTCGTCGTCGTCGTCGTCGTCTTTCCGTTCCCTTCGCCCTTTGCTCGCTCGCATCCTCTTCATTGCTCGCTCTCTCCCTTCTCTTTCTCCTTCTCCTCCTCCTCCTCCTCCTCCTCCTCCCTTCATCTCGAGCGCCTCTCTTCTAGGCGCAGGCATGCTAATTCACGTGACGCGCGTAACATTAAACCCTGACGTTTAATCCGGTAGAAACGCGCGTGGCTTACACGGGCACCGACCGTCGACCCTTTATATGGTTCGGTCGTATGGAGATTTCACCGCGGTCGCGCGCGGACGTATCTGGTAATATCCGGCGCGAGAGTACCGCGGGCCTCTATCGTGATAATGCTTCGTTTGTCCCGATAATCCGATTAATTTATATGGATGAGCCGCGCCGCGCCACGCCGCGATTCCTCGGCGCGTCGGGGGTCGAAGGTCGGGCCCGCGAGAGCGAGAGCTCGCCCGAGAATTCACGATCGTCCGTAACGCGAGGCTCGTAGATGTCCGACGCGATGATACGTGCGTTTGTAGATCAGTTTAACGAGCGACGAGCGCGCGCTAATTTCCGCGGATGCGTCAGCGAATCCTTAATCTCGCAGTGCGAATTTCAATGGCATGAGTCGTCTGAGTAGGACGCCGCCGATGTGTCGGGATATTTCGTCCCGCTACGAAACCCGACGACAACACGTCGATGAGAGTTCGCGCGCCGGGAAACTCTACTTTCGGTGGATCAAAGATCCCAATAGAGCGCAAGCGCTCCGATCTTGCCAACAACGATCTAATGGGAATTCTTCCGACCATTCTCTGTTACAGTCATTCTTTGGCCGCACGTACAACAACGCCAGTAATATCGCGGAATGCAAGAACGGCAACAGTTGCGTGATCAACAAGAAGAACCGCACGACCTGCAAGTCCTGCCGTCTGCAGAAATGCATTCTCGTCGGTATGTCCAAATCGAGCTCGCGCTACGGTCGTCGCTCGAATTGGTTCAAGATTCATTGCCTCTTGACGGAGCAGGGCGGTCAGAACCTGGCTTTAGCGGCGAGCGCTGCCGCGCCGTACCCGCCGAACTATCTGGTGAATATGCTCAAGCACAACGAGAACAACGCGCATAATAACGACAGAGCAGACCTGCCATCACCTAACCAGGGTGACCTGGCCTACCAAGTGCAAGCGCAGCTCGCGTCCCTGCAGGTCGCAATATTGAATCGAGAGCAGAGAGGTCGACAATCGCCCCGTTCCGACGAGGAGGGACATCCGGAGGAGCAGGCTCCAAGCGGCTCGCGTAGCTGGCAAGAGAACAGCTCGCACCCAGAGTCAGCCGAGGGCGCTGAGAAGGCCGCAGCTTCTTCCACAAACATCGGTCTGTCGGAGGAGAACGCTTCCTCGCAGAGCACCATGCGTACAGCGATGTCCTTGGCGTTGGCCTCTATGAGGCGTACGCCGAATGACATGACAGCGAGAATGATGATGACAACGAGAACAGACATATCCGAGGAGGAATACGCTCATCTGTTCGCAGGCTTGGAATTGTTTAGAAACCGTGCGAACATTACAGGGAGAAATGACTCTGTCAGCGAGTCCAGCTCCGCGGGCGACAACTCCATGGATGGCGAGCGCACGCGCGACGGTGAGTTCAGAAGCAGCCCCAACCGGCTCAACTGTGCCAACTCGCCATCGTTGTCAGAGCAAGGTTCGCCCAGGAGCACGGTTAACGCCGCGTTAACGCTTCGACCGCTCTATCAACATGGTTATGGTCAATACAATATGAACACAATGTACCCGCCGCGAGATCTCGTCACTCCGAGCACCGCGCACCCAATGGCCGGCTGCGATCGTCTCCAGATTAGTCCCAATCCAGGTCGTGTCGCCGACGAACAGAACGAGCCGATAGACTTAAGCGTACGGCCGGACAGGAGCTCCAATAAACCGACGAAGGACGATCAAACGACGAAAGAGGATCAGAGAGCGTGCACGCCGCTCGACCTGACGGTGAATTTGAAGAGGCCGAAGTCGACTCTGGACAGGGTTGAGATTGTTGAGAGGACCACGGCCCACGGCCCAGAATGGATCAAGGTCTTGCCATCTCAGACAAGTCCGTAAACTTTGGGAGGCACGCACTGAATCGATGTACGATGACAAATCGTTGACGAAGCGAAAAGAATCCAGTAACACAGCGAGGCAAACGAGTATTCTTCGAGATGTTTTAATGATTGGCATCATGGTCAAGCAGAGCGTCTCTTTGATACATACACATAGCTCTGAGAAGTGGGATTTGTTTTGGAGAAGATGGGAGAAAATCTTCTTCAATCCAAACCTCCTTCAATCTGTCTCAACCGGACAGATTTGAGGAGCTCCTCTCGGATGCGCTGAGGATCCAGCACTCTGAGTGCTTTGTGGCACGCTGTACGAGAAATTCTCACAGTGACAGACTGTGCGAGAGAAGGGAGAAAAGGAAAAAGAGAAGTCAAGGTGATAGAACTATCCTTGTAATATACTCGTGTTAATTTTCATAAATTGTCGTAATGTAAGTACAATGTGCGCGGTAAGAAAAGATAGAGACGGCGAGAATATTGTGCGAATGTGTTCACTTTGTTTGTAGGCGCGAATGAATCGAGCGCGCATCCGGAACGTATTTAATTTATTGGAGAATTCATTCTTCACAAGCATCCGTTGTTCATTGTAATCGTAATCATCGTAACGAATTTCGCGCAGCTGCACATTAGTCGGTGCGCTCGTCGGTTTGAACACTTCTTATCTCGATGCAATTTGGAAGTGGCAGCCAACGGAAGCCCAAGAAAGAATTGGTTTCTTGGAAACATTTCGGGAACAAGTCCAATCGTTGGACTATCGGCTGCAAGTCTCATACGTCGAGAAAGAAATGTTCAAGCCGTTTTGAAGCCAAGCGCACTTGTACTTAAGCGACTTGTTTAAATATATTAGTCGTGTATAGTAAGCTAGATTCGCGAATATACCGGCCAGTAGCGAGAAGTGCCTTAATCTAATATATTTATATAGTTATAGATATATTGTCGCGCCGGCGACACATATATACACAAACACACACACGTACACATACACATACACACACTCGACACTCAATAAAAGCAAAAATGTACATCACATATAAATTCTCAGTGTTCTCATCTCGAAGCCGATACGTTATAATTCCAATTCCTAAAAAAAAAAGATTATAAAAAAGAATAATATTTTCGTACAGCATCAGCGACCGCGCGCCGATGCAATCGGAGAACGCCGAGTGATACATCTCGTGAGCTTACGTCATGCGTAATGATAAACCGATCGATGGTGACGTAAGGATGTTTTATGTGTGTCTATACACATATATACATGTATATTAGGTGATTATTGAAAGACACTCTTCTACGTCTCGGTGCACGAGTCTTTGGTCATCGCAAAGTTGCAAAAACATTTTAATTCTTATTTCATTCGTGGTAAGCGAGAATCAGAGGCAAGTGATCACTCGACACGTGTCGTAAATATCAGTGGATATTAAACGGTTTCGTGCCCCTCGCAACCGTCGCGATTCTCGTTGTGCAATTTCTTGAACTGTTGCACATCTTAGGTACGCTACATATTGCGGCTTTACGATTAATAGTTTCGATTCTTATTATCTACGAAATATTAGTTATAAGGGCGAAGTGAAAACGTGATGTTTCGTCGAAAAGTGTCCAAGATAAGGCGTCGTTGGATTTTAAGAAGCAAAACATTATTAGGGAACAGCATCAGTATTGTTTATGGTAAACCAAAAACTTATAAATAAACGAGACGATTGTTACAAGATGAAACATTTAAATAACACATCAATGGTATATAACAAACCAGCCCTGAATCCTAGCAAAGAAATCCAGTGACAAAACTTTGTCAACACAATATGATCGATCCCAATCCTGGAATCCAATAATGAAATCGAACGACAGAGCTTAGTGAGTTCCATATAGCGGATCAACCTCAATGCTGAAATCCATCAATAAAATCCCGTGACAAAACTTGGCGCACTTAGACCCAATAGTTGACACCTGAGACTTGTCTCATGTGAGATACTCAGATCCTTACTCATCCTTACTGTATAACCAATTGAACGCTCTGTGTGTAATCGCGATTCAAATCTGAGAAACTCAATCTAACTCTGAATTCAGATCCCAATGTCTCACTTGAAACGAATTTCAAAAGTAATGTCTATTAACGCCAAGCAATCAATCTCAATCCTGAAACTCCCAGCGATGAAAAGTAGCGATCTAATTTCCCGAGAAGATCGAGGAAATCCCATGGCGACGAGATCTTAAATGGACGATATTAAGGAAAAGGAAAACATCAAATGATCTGTCAGGCAGGTAGGAAAAATCGAGCCAACCGAATTTGGCGTATCGACCATCTACTGCGGCAGTTGATTCAATCGCCGGGGATGGAGACGACGTACATCACGATGTACCCGGGATACGCTATGTATAATCGAGACAACGCACAGTTCCCAGCGTGTACGTACGTGTACGCGCGCTAGTGTGTGCGTGCGCGTTCACGCACGGCTAATGCGGATAACAAACGAGCGAGACTCGAGGCAGTGCGTCAGTCCACCGCGACTGGTTACACCGGCCGAGCAATAAGCAATCGCTTAAACCCGTCATGACTCTATGCATGAGTTGGGCAACACCGCCGCGTACAGGACGATTTTAAAGTCGTGCGCGCGACTCCCGCTCGGCGCGAGTGAAATATCGATAGGCGACGAGCGGGCGGCTCACGCGCGGTCGTTCCGCGTTGCGAGCTTCCTTACTCGAGAACGGTCCCGTGGAGACACTTTACACGAGCATAAATCTTCCGAAATGGAATATATAAGCGTGACGAGTGATCGACTAACCGTTTATTGCTTTATTGCTCCGTTCGTGTCGCGGAAACGACGCGATCGCGATTTCCGCCGCTGTCGCCGGCGACGCGTTTCCTGAAAATGTTCCCGTCATCTCGAGTGACATTAAATCCGCGCTGATAAGACATGAAGTTCACGAGAAAGTACTGCTCGATCGCGAGTGAATCGCGGCGGTTTCGACTTTAGCGGCGAACACACCGGCCGCTTTCTCCGATCGAGGAAGCCTCGCGGAAGATGCGCGCTCGAGGATCTCCCGAAGCGGCGGCAAGAGACCGACGTACAAAACGCGCGCCGCGGCTCGGCGAGCATAATGTGCGCCACGCAGAATGTTAACGGCCCCCTTGGGACGCGATAGACAAGCTATCGCGGCGAATGCGACAGGCGGCTGGAACGGCTACCTGGTTACGCTGCGGGACAGACGGCCGCGGGCAAGAAGTTGTCGGCTGTGTGCCCCCCGTGCGCGTTTTCTCGTTCTTTCTCCGCACGCTCCTTTCACAGCCTGGCTCTCGATTAAGCAAATTAATAACCGGCGAGACAACTGTAATGAGACGCCTAATTGATCGCGCGAAACGCGCGGCATTCGAAACCACCGCGCCGCGGCCGACCCGGTCATGTGCCGTGTGTGAGTAATGAGCCGTGTCCGTCGTGATCGTTAATTCCTAAAAACATTGACGGCTTTGCAAAGTGGCTCTGTCCGTTCCGCGTGCACAAATTACGCTAAAACCGGCCGGGCGCGGCTTACAATGTAATGCAACGTTCGGCTACGAAAAAAAAGAAAAATTCGCGACGCGCGCGAGAATGCTAGAAAGATCGATAAGAAGTGTGTAAACTCACTTCCTCCTATCGTCAACAGTCGTCGCTTATCAATGAGGCCGGGTGACTAAACAGTCAAAATAGTCGCGACCTTCAAAAGGCGGTCAAATGCCCCGCAAACTTTTCCGCATCTTTTCATTCAGTCCCGGGCCGGCGAGCGACGCGCGTATCACAGCCCGCATGTCGTTACCTGTTGTTCTTCTGCGCAATCAAAACATTCGCAACCTTCAAGCCAACTTTATCTTCGTGCCTCGTGCACTTTTCCGGATCTTTTCATTCAGTCTCGAGCCGACGAGCTACGCGCATATATCGCGGTTTACGTGTATCGGTATGTATTTGTTGCTCCTCTTGAGTGATTAAACCATTCTGTCGATACTTTGAGATACTTATTTAAACGTCTCATCGCGTTATTTAACACGTATACCTTCGATTGAGTTGTGTCTACGCGAGTGTCAGTGTCAGTGCCACGACGGAACAGCCAGGGTCGAGAAGCCAGGACTGAGGACGCAGGACGTCGTGACGCGGGTTGCAGCGATACATCATATATTTCCGAAGTATGTGCCACATCGTTTACTATACAACAAGTCTCCGTTTCTAACGGACATTTACCGAGAATAACGAAGTGCCCGAGTCGAAATTTAAGCCGGTATTCATAGCTTGTCATTGTTCGACGTATAATTATAGTTTTATTGATCTCTGTTTGATCGTCAAACTATATCTGTTTCATTACTTCATACAAAAAACATTGATTCAAATAACCGAGCAGTGGTCCATGAATATAAGCTTATAATTAATTACGTTCTCACTCAAAAATAGTAAATATTTTCTAACTATGAATATCGACCTCATAACGTAAATCTGACAAGTGCTGATTTTTACGTCTAATAATGCTACTTAAAATCGCGAGTCCAATCTTGTTCTCATCAACCAATATATTTTTGGTGTCTGTTTAATTATTACACCGAATCTAAATTTAAATCGCTATTGATAAACAGTATTATTGGACATATATGTGATTAATACACTTATCTTTCCAGCTTCATATCAGCTCTTTTAAGAGCTATAAATCTCATCGAAATTCCTATAAAAGAAAGAAAAGAGAGAACAGAAAAAGAAAAAAGAAGTAAAAGAAAGAAGGAAAAAAAGAAGAGAATAAAAAAGAGAAAAATTGGGTAGATGAGATTGTCTTGGTTTTTTACCAATTTATACCCACATATCAATCTTCATTAAATAATTTAACATCTGTTTATTCAATCTAAAAGACAATATATAAATTTTGTTCGAAACCAGACTTAAATGCGTTTTTATATTTCGCACAGACGATGTGCGTTTTCCGAGACTTTCCGTCGAGCGTGCAACTATCGTGAATGGCGAGTTTCTTTTACGCATCAAATACACACAGTTTTTTCGACATTCTTTCGACATTTCCTTCGCGAAGAAAAATGCATTGTTGGAGTTAGATGGCCGCTTAAGGAAGGTACTCCGGTGGATGGTAAGGGCGCTGCTTGTAACTCATGTTTTGAGAAGAATGTTCGAAAAGAGGCAGCGAGAACAGACTTTGTCAAATAAATAGTTGATTTAAACCGCTCAAAAGTCGAGGATTTTTATTTATTCCGGGTTTTGCACAAACATTGTGTATTTTCTGAGGTTTCCCGATTAAAGGTGATTATCGCGAATGGCAGTATATTAGTTAGTTTATACATTCGATGTAGTCGGGCAATTAATTTTCTCGACATCTTTTTCTTCGCAAAGAGAAAGTAGAATGCTTTGATCGCGTTTATACTTTATTATTTTGTCCGAAAACATCGTGGTGAACATCAAAACTCAAATCTTTATCGTCAAATCGCGATTGTTCTAAGCGATCCGCAGTTTATAAACGTGTAAAAAGTTCTGTTAAAATATATTAAAATATATTAAATATATTAAGTTAAAATATATTAAGTTAAATATATTAAGCTAAAGTTTTGTTAAAATATATTAAGCTTATAACGTATAATAAATAATTAAAATAATCAAATTAAAATTAAAGTTCGTAATAAATAATTCTTGAACGAATGCTTCTTCGAGCTTCTTTAGTGTGGAGAAAACTGCAGTGAACAACCATCTGTGCAGCATCAAGGTAAGCCAACAGCTTGTATATCTCGAGATTCTTCATTGACTCTTCAGATTCGACGGAATTTGCAGAGTCAATGCAGAATCCAAATTTCGACTCGGGTAGTCGCGGTCCGTGAAAAAGCGAGTTGTGGTCATGGAAACGTAAAAGCACGAAAATAACGAGATAATTTTGAAGCCACAGTAGCTGAGCCTGTTACATGAATATCTCCAACTTGCACTTGATTGTACTCTTACATTCCTCTCTCTCGTCTACCACTTGCCTATTGATTGACATGACACGAGATTCGCGTCAAGACGCGGCCAAACGCAATTGCTCGAATCATAAAGCAACACTTTCATATTTCTCTCGCCATTTTCGAAAATTGCACTGTTAACATGGAGCGAAAGCGTTAATTTCGCTCAGAATTCCTACTGTGTTGTCGACATGCCTCGACGAAGAGGTGCAACGCAAGTGTAATAAGATTGAGCGAGATGCGTGCGTGACAAAGCAGCGGTGAAAACGGAACCATAAGCGCTCGGGAATCGCCTCGACGCGATCCATTCCCTAGCGTCACCGACGAACCCAGGAGAAACCGCGTTCTTGGGCGCGACGCGCGAGAGCCGCCGTCGGTATCGGTAGACCTCGCCGCGAAGTATACGGCCGGATCCTTGGCGTGCACGGAGAGCGTTAGGGGTTAACGAGGGCCGATCGTGCGATCGGTCGATCTTTCCCAAGAGAGCCAAGGCGGCCCAATTAGAAGGCACGTAAAAGCCGGGCGCATAATCAGCAATTTGTATTGTCGAAGGATAAGGGTGCTCGCTCTCGCGGAAAGGATTCTTCTCTCTCCATCTTGTCTTTTCTCTTTACCCTCATTCGCTCCCTTTCTCTCCCTCTCTCTTTCTCTCTCTCTTTCTTTCTCTTTCTCATTCATTGTCGTCCCCTCCCACGCGCCCACCCTCTCTTTCGAGAAGCCACTTTGCAAAATAACTTCATACACAAGGCGAACAACATGAACGTCT